TGTTATTTTCAAAATGTATCGGTAGTTCGATACTTCACCGCGGTGTATATGTGCTCATGATAAAGTTACAGTTTAAGCTACCTATCGTAGTTTGTATGGAAATAGCAACCCGGTTATAAAACGTGTGTGTAAACGATGTGTATTCTCAAGATGTCTGTGTTTTTACTGACGCTTTTTTCATTTTTTTTTCATTTTCCAGATTACCTTTGCAAACCAGAAGATAACGTCTACAACATTGACTTCACACGTTTTAAAATACGAGATCTGGAGACTGGGACGGTCCTGTTTGAGATCGCAAAGCCGCCCCATAGTGGTGAGTTTGAGTTTGTTCTGGCATGTTTGGTCTTGGTCGTAGTACTAGTTATTCACGTGTACTAGTTTAATAGAAAACTTGTTTTTAGCGATTTCCGATAATATTGTAATATTATGAAATAACATTTAAAATTATGCTTATATCTGTCATATTATCGGCCCGATATTAGTATAATTATGTAACATCCGTGTGAGTGTCCATATCCGTAACAATGCTGGAATTGCTTCAAGGGTCTGAAGGCTTTTACCACAGTTTTGGGGGTAAACGGCTGCGAATATCGCGAATATCTGCAAACAGTTAATATCAGACATTCGTACTTCGTTTTTACTACTTTTTGTGTGTGTGTTGTGGTTTAGGACCAGTGACAAGTGAAGATGACGTTGAAGACGTTGACACCAGCGCAGGGCGTTTTGTCCGATACCAGTTCACACCGGCTTTCCTCAAACTGCAAACAGTCGGTGCAACGTAAGGAAATGGATTCAAACATTATTTATTTTAGGTCATTTTTTTTACCAAGTATTTAATCCTGTTTATTGTATGATGAGCGCCATTGTTTTTATTCGCAGTGTGGAGTTCACCGTGGGGGATCAGCCAATGAACAGCTTCCGTATGATCGAGAGGCATTACTTCCAGGGACGCCTCCTGAAAAACTTTTACTTCGACTTCGGCTTTTGCATTCCCAACAGCCGCAACACGTGCGAACACATTTATGAGTTTCCGCAGCTTCCAGAAGACTTCAGTAAGTCTGCCTCTGTTAGCATGATGATAATAGTAATTAATAATATTAATAATTAAGGATGTAATTATACACTCAACTCACGATATGATTTTATTTTTTACACCTGAATGTCTCTTAGCCTACGTAGGAACCTGATGTTTGGGTTTAATAGCGCGTCACAACCACCGTTTTTAGATGCACACTGCCACCTGCTGTAGTAGAGTATGTAGTGTCATGGTATGACCAGTGACTTCTTGAGATACTGCAGCCTACTCCTAATGCCTTGGCGCAAGAATCGATGTGAATTTTCTCGCATTTGTATCTTTCTTTTTTTTTTTAATCCAGTCACGATGCATCGCTTCATCCTTTTGTTAATAATAATTATATATTTGTTGTTCCTTTCAGTTCGCCAAATGGTGGAGCACCCCTACGAGACCAGATCAGAGACTTTTCCTCCTGAAATGGACTTTCGGAACCAAGAGGACTCTCTGCACGCAGTGGAACCAGACGTACGTCCCGAGCTCTGGCAAGGACCCAAGAAGCACGGACTTTCCACTACCCTCTAAATACGAGCAGACGTTCACTACAGTAAGGCTGGCATTTGGGCACGTTAGTTAATCTGTAGTATTGTTAAGTGCTATTTAAACTTAGGGACAGTTTAAGTACGCATATTGAATTTTGTTGTCTGAAATCTGTGCTGCTTTTATAGCTAGGCTGTTGCATGCACTTCTTTTCTAACCTCCTGACTCGGTCTTATACTCTTGTACACCGTCAGTATTTCAGTGTTAACTTGTAACGTTATCAGTATTGGGATCAGGAAAACTCCGACAAAGTCCTTTGTCTGGAGTAGACCACGCGGTACGCCTCCCTTCCCCCATATACTTTGATAACATCACAAGCACTGTTTCATTGTACCTGAGCGCATCTTGGTGCGCGTACACAACACCCATTCACACCTCCGTGAGCGCATACACGCCTCACGTGTTTCCTGTTGCCGTTCCTTCTACCTCGCAGTTCTTCTTCCACTGCGCAGTCGCGTATGTGAACACGCCTCAAGGGCTCAGTCGCTTGCTTGGTAGCTAAGAGGCAACATCTCTCTCTCTCGTACACGACCACTCGTGTACACACGCACATAAGTACACACACACACACCTACACACACGCCTTGTTTTGTTATAATGATCATTGTTTATGAGTTCAATCACCGTCATTAACTTGACAGTGTTGTATAAATAAATTTGATTATTTTTGTAAACTGTGTTTGTCTGTGTTGTTACTTTATTCATTGAAGCCACCCAATTTGCCAAGAACTCTCAAAATCCTTCAGATATTTAATTGTTATTGGATACTATTGATTTTAGTATATTTGTAATACTTCAAGTAATACATTATTGCTATATTAGTAGGTTAAAATAATAATTAAAGATAACTTTAATGAGACTGGTTGTGTTATTAATTTGAGACTGGTTGATAACACCGAGTGCTCCTAAGCAGCACTCGACCCATTGCACCTACAATTCTTTGAGCTTTAAACAAATAAAAGGTAAATACAATGACCTTTGTTTCTGTATTTGAGCTCTTTGTGTGTGTTAACATATCACTTACTTAGCTTACTGCTAAGAGACTTTGGTTGATCTCAGCTCCTTCTATGCGACTGTGTCTGTTTGTTTTTTTGGTGTCTGATGCCCTTTCACTTCCTGCCAGGTCTATAAACCACATACTGCAGGCAAGAAAGACAGATACACGTGTCTCATGTTGTCATTAAACACCATGTGAAATAGTTTTTTAATAATAAACATATGTGACCATATCAAGTGATGGACATACCTGCCAACTGTCTGCTGGTTTGGAGAACGAGAAGAAAGCGGATTTGCTCCACTTGTTCCCTGTGTGTGCTCCTAGCTGCCGTGAGAAATCACCTTTTCAAGATGAAGGAGGTGACAGTAGGACAGAGAGACCAGAGACAGATACAGAGGGAAGTGATCAGGGTATGTAGTCATCAATACACCATACTAAAACTGTATATGTGCAATAACTGTATAACTAGCATTACCTTGTGTAATAGCAAAAATGTCCATTCTCATGTGGAATGTCACTCACCTGTTTATTTAAGTATAATGGTAAAAATCGTAACATGTCAAATTGTTTGACTGTCATTATGTACAGTCTTTGTTTCTCTGTATTATTATCTTCTATAATTAATTGATTTATTATCTCAATTGCAATATCTCAAAGTAACTATACCTGTAAACTGGAAAACTACAAAATTGCAAGCTGATATCTTATTTGTAAAGCACTATGCTAGACTTCACTCTTTATACCGCATATTGTACTTTGCTGCTGTCAACACTGTCAATTTCTCCACTGTGGGTCCAATAAAGGAAATCTTAATCTTAATCCTAAAAACATGATAAAGCATTTGCATTGAATCCTGGCCTATTTTTGTTTACAGTAATAATATGTAAATAGTAAATATGTTCTTGATGTTTAAGTGTAAATAAGAGCATCGGCGCTACATTTGTAATCACTACAAAAGGAATAAAAGCAAAAATGAAATGAACCAACACCAAGAATATTTTCATGTTAACTATTAATTATAAAAAAAAGATACAGTGATGTAGAATATCAATACACTATTGTGAAATAATACATTAAGATATTTCAGTGTATCAATATTTTCTTACACCCCAATCCACCCCCATGACAACACAAACCACTATCACTAAAATTTTTTTTGCAGCAGTAGAACTCTGTGGTAGCCCGTAATTGTAACGAGCCACTGTCTTTGCTTTATAAATAAGTGGATGCTTAGTCATGTCAGTGGTCAGTACAACGCTGTGAGCAGCATCCAGACACCTTTTAACTTTAGAACAACACTCTTCATACAATGAAGGTATTTTTTCTCCCATGAAAAATTTCCTACTTGGCATCCTGTAGCGGGGATCAAGTGTCTTTATTAAATTCTTGAAACCCTCCTGTTCAACCACAGAGAGGGGTTGTAGGTCCTTCACGATCATCATGGCAATACTCTTTGTGATGTCCTTGGCTCTTTGTGAATTATCTAGGTGAAATGACAAAATGATTAAGTCTGTAACTGTAATCTGAAAATAGCCTAAATAGGAATGCTACTTTTCCTTCAACAGTTAACACTAAAGAGTTATTATAGTCAGTAATATTCATATTTCAGGTTTGAGGTATAGAGCCTATCTTTATATGGGTAGCTATATTTTTGGGTTCCAATAAAACTAGGGCTGCAGCTATTCTTCAATTTAATTGACTAATTAGGAAAAAAAATGGTTTGATGCCAATTCTGTTACATCGAGAACTTGTTTAATTATTGCTGCGTACTAAAATTACCCGTAAAAAGCTGGTGCGAAGCAGACAACCAAAACTTTTGCGAAGTTTGTTTGTTTATAACCCTGACCTGGGTATTGTTGATTTTTTGGCTGAAAAGCATCTGCCAGAGTACATTGTCTCTGTGTCCGCGGGGGTGTTCTGGCTTGGGGATCCCCCCCCTCCTCCCTCAACTTCTTTGCTTGCAGCTCGTTGCTCTCTGTAGGGTGAGCTTTTTTCATATGTTTGTGTAAATTCGTGGTGTTACCACAGTAGCGGACCACTTTATTACACAAATCACACTTGGCACTGTGTTTTTCTGTTGTTGTAAAAAAAGTCCACACCGCGCTCCGCTTCTTGTTTGGCTCTGCCATTGCTTTAGGTTCCGGCTGCTCTCACTCTCCCGTCGCCCTCTCTTCCTGGCAGGCAGGATGCAGCAGGCCAGTGGCCAGGTAGGGGGAGGGGCTAAAAGTGTGCCTGAGTCACTCACTCAGGCAGAGACTCAGAGAGTAGCAGGGGGCGCTGGGCGAGAGAGAGAGGGGGCTGCGCTATTTGCGCAGAGAATCGGTGCTTTGAGGAAATTGGTGGAGGAGCGAAGTATCGATCCCAGGACAACAGTATCGATCCGATCCAGGTACTTGCTTAGTATCGATAATATCGATATTTGGATCGATCCGCCCACCCCTACTGTTCAGGACTTTCGCTCCGTAGGACCCTGATGATAAGAGAAACCTGCTCGTCTCAGAAGACTAAGAACCAACGCGCTTTTGTAGACACCATTGCCCACGGTGATAAATGCACTAGTAGCGTCTTTTTCTTAACTGAGTTAACCGGTAATTAAGTTACACAAGTAACGTAGCGCTGCGACCAAAGCAGTTATTGAAAAGTTAGAAGCGACAGGATTCCTTCTAACGGTATTCGTGTGAACCGGCACATCGACAGTCAGAGACTTTTCCTCCTGAAACGGACTTTCGGAACCAAGAGGACTCTCTGGACACAGTGGAACCAGACGGACGTCCCCAGCTCTGGCAAGGACCCAAGAAGTGCGGACTTTCCACTACCCTCTCAATACGAGCAGACGTTCACTACAGTAAGGCTGGCATTTGGGCACGTTAGTTAACCTGTAGTATTGTTAAGTGCTATTTAAACTGAGGAACAGTTTAAGTACGCATATTGAATTTTGTTGTCTGAAATCTGTGCTGCTTTTATAGCTAGGCTGTTGCATGCACTTCTTTTCTAACCTCCTGACTCGGTGTTATACTCTTGTCGTTCAAAAAACAATCACAGTCCTCCAAAAAGCCTTAGGAAGAAACGAGTCTTTCTGTATTTGCACTAAACAGTACACAGGAGCGACCCCAACAGGTCATGAATTCCATTACTCACCTCATTATTTTGGAATAAAAGTGGATCCATTCAAATCCGGTAACAACACGGACTCCGTTTGTGAGCAGTTTTTCAGGAACTTTTCTGCCCTCTGTGTTTTTTCATAAATAATAATAAAAACGTGATTTTTCTAGGACAACAAATAAACGTGGAAATAAATGTGTATATATTTATGTAGTCTCATCATGAACACGTCGAAGGTTTTTCAGCTGATATTTTTTAAACCTTCGCGGGTTTTTACATCAATGCTGTAAAAAGTGGAAAATGTCGTGTATTTGTACCACTAAGAGTGTAGACATTTACTTTGATTAAAGTCTAACGACGGCCACCGATTTTTACTGGGTTTTATTGTTTATTTTTCCGGAAATTACGTTTTGCACAAGGCTAGCTTCATGGTTGACTTCCTTTAGCATAAAGATTACAATACACGAAGGAACCGAAACTTAAAAAACAAATTTTGTGTTTGAATTTAGGTTTGAATTTTTTAAGGTTAAATGTAGAATTAATAAAAAAAAAATTCAAAAGTAAAAAATATATATGTATACTTTTAAGAACGCAGACTTTCGCCGTTACGTCACACCCGGTACCGTTCTGTTCCAGGTCGGCTAATGGCTATCGAAATTAAAATGCGTATTTTATTTCTTTAATTAAACAAGAGATCAACACAAGTCAATGGAGACGTTAAAAATTTTTTTCTTTAATTTTACAAACAATTTTTAAAACGTCCAAATGCTGTGCAGTCCCGAACAAACCTTTTTTTCACGGAGCGGACACAACTACTT